TGTGTTCTTCGCTTATCACTCTTGATAAGCTGGAAGCTGTATCAGAAGCTTATAGTGGAATATTCCCAGAATTCTTGGGTAGCTCCACGTCCAACATGTTGAACTGCCTTTTTTTCTTAGCAGACATTTGTACTTTGTAGATTTGTATTGAAAGCAAGCTGACATTTTTAGTTCAGGCTTATGACTAATTCCAAGGTGGAAACCACTCAAAATTATCACTCTTGATAAGCTGGAAGCTGTATCAGAAGCTTATAGTGGAATATTCCCAGAATTCTTGGGTAGCTCCACGTCCAACATGTTGAACTGCCTTTTTTTCTTAGCAGACATTTGTACTTTGTAGATTTGTATTGAAAGCAAGCTGACATTTTTAGTTCAGGCTTATGACTAATTCCAAGGTGGAAACCACTCAAAAGAATACTGGTTAACTTTTTTAAGCTGGAGTTTACTGTTGCTTTCACAAAGGAAGCATTAAACTTGCATAATTACAGAAAGGCCATTTCTCAGTTTTTCTCTGCAACCCTAAGCTGCAGAAGCACAGGCAAAGTCATAGCATGGATATGTGACTGCTCTCTCTGTCCAGTATTTGCAACGCGTTCAGGGTATGACTGAGTTGAGGTTATTTTTAAACAGTCTGCTAGAAATAGTCCTTTGGAATACCAACCATCTCTGTCTCACTGCCTTCAGGATCAACAGCAAAAGCTCTAATGGGTACGTCGGTTTGGGGTTTCTGTTATAAGAATGAAGTCTTACTTGTATTTCTTGCTGAGATTCCTGTAAGCACTTTGCAAGACTTAAAGGTAAGTGCAGTATAAAAAGAACAAATTTTGTTTTTAATTAGATGAACTATGTATTTTGTTTTCAGTGGATGTAAAACTGAAGTTTGAGTTTTTAGAGAAGAGGGCACTGTACAGCTGGTTTTGACTCCAATCTCCTATGTAAGTATAGAGTTGTACATCTTTGGGAGGAGGAAGTAGTTACAGGGAGACTTGAGAAACTGCAGGCTAGCAAAAGCAAGAACAATCTTTTCCAAAACATCATGTGAAGAGTATTTTCTTTTCCCTGAGATCATACAACTGACTGAGTATCTTTGGAAGAAAATAAAGTTGATTTGGTTTTGGAATCTGTAAATGTCAGTTAAATAATTTACTCACAATTTGGAAAATCTCTGTATTCTTGGACTTAAAAGCTGCTTAACGAGCTGGTTCTGTTTTCTTATGATCTCTAAAGAGCTCTTAAATTTGAGCATATGTATCTTGGTTATAGAATCATATTTTCTATAGAGAATTAGGTAGTCTATCCCTTCAGTTTGTTTGCAGTTAGACCATCCAACTAAAAATGCACTTTC